GCGCCACAACCCGGCGCTATGGCGCCCATCTTCGGGTGGAAACACTACACTGCACGTCTTTCAATATTTTTAACATAACTTTTGCTCACGATATCCAATTGAGGTGATTTAAGATGATTTGGAAAGATACCTCAAAGGGATACAACTTTTCTTCAGATATCATTTTCCAATTCAAATGTTTCCAATGTCAAAAATGAGTCTCAATATGAGACTACAAATCTGGAGCATAACTTTTTCGGTTGGAAAATGATATGTGGTCATACTTTGACTATATTTGATCCATTTGACTTCTTTCTTCATCCAATTGATTACAAGCACTCTCGAATCTTCATTTTGAGGTCCGACACAAATTTGTACTTTAGTCCCCGAACTTTGATCTCTTACAATTTAGCCATTTTCTCCAATTTTGCAAACTCTTACTTATTTCCTTCAATTTCATCAACCTATATCACAACATCAAAACACACATTAAAATGTTCTAAAACTCTCTCAAGGATAATAAAATAACGAATTAAGTGGCATAAATATCATGAGTGTAGAACACTCATTAGAATGTGTTAGGTTTTAATTTGTATTGGTTATTCTTTAGACAAAAGGATTATTATAAAAGAATTGTAAAAGTCAAAGAAATTAATATTAATATTAATAATATTTAATATTCTCTCTCTTACATCTTCTCTCTCTAAATTATAACTACCTAAACCTTAAAATTCCCAAAATCCCAAATCATTTACCCACATCTCTCTTTCTCTCACTCCCCTTTCGATTGCTCCGACGTCAACAAATAGAGTGCAGAATCGCCACGATGATCATTTGCAGAAATCCGTTTCTGTTTTCTCATGGTAGATTTGAGGTGGTCGTGGTGGTGATTGGTGAAATAGGCAGTGGCGGTGAGGTGGTTTCAAGTCGATCTGGACAGTCGAAGTTTTAGGTGGTTTTTGTTGGCGGTTTGCAAATGGTGGTGGTGGTGTAGTTCAGATCTAAGGGTGGTGGTTATCTGATGTGCAACAATCTCAGGTCGGTAGTGGTGTTGGTGGTTTTCTAATCTGTGGGTGGGTGGTTTTCTGTGGTGATTTTGTTGTGATTGTTTGTGGGTGGTGATGTCGGTGGTGGTGCAGGCGGTGGTGGCGACGGTGGTGTAGGCAGTGGTGCTTCTATTGGTTGCAGGTTTTTGTGGTGTTGTGAGGTCCATGGCTTTTGGTTGTTGCCCGTGGGGCAGCTATATGAATGTGGTGGTGGTGGTGGTGGT